TAACTCCCCTGGCTGGCATGTTATCTGTCTATTTGGCAGATTTCTACTCCTTTCAGCCGCTTCCCGAAGCCTGGGGTTGAGGTGACTGACTGCGAAACCAGAGACTTTGGCTCTCACGAGCTCCGCCATTTTTCAAGTCAAGTGTACTCAGGGTAACGTTGTTCTAAATGACGGTCGTATAATTTGCAACAGTGTTTACCGTGATTTGGAAAATTGTTCGCTGCGATTTGGGCAATTTATCGTGGTTATTTTTTCACCACATTCACGACACTCCACCACAACGGTGAAAACACCAGAAAACGTGGCCTTAGGCAAAATTGGTCTGCGTAGTAGCCGCTGACTCAATTTTGTAATCCGTGTCCACTCATTGCATATAGGGTCAAAAAGGTCCAACGATTAGACGTAGAGAATACAAAAACATAAATTTTAAAGTTAGACCAAGTGGTTAGACGTACCTATGGTGTGAAACCTCGACAGCCGACTGTGCTGGGTCCCTTCCCAGTATCCTGCGTCACCCCAAATGAAAGATCTGCAGAAAGAAACCCTGCAGAGCCAGATACCTTACAGGTCTGTACGTCACGGACGCCTAGCCAATAGTACAACAGATTGCGCAACCTAACGCAATAGCGGCTTGACCTCCTGGGGTCATTTAGACGGTTCAGAAACAATCAGGAAACAAGAAGCCATAGGCGACAATTCTCCGTGAAGTATTATATATTGCAACAAAAAGAAGTAGCCATTGGCGACAATTCTCTGTGAAGTGTGATAAATCGAACAAAGAAAAATTGTTTAAACGCGCGTCGGCTCAGTCATCTTAAGACGCAACAACCAATCAGAGATGCGAGATGCCTACACGTGACGCGGGAAGGGCGCGCGATGCCCGAAATATTTTTGCGTCAATATTCAGCGCCGTGATTCAAGAGATTAATACCCGGAAACAATTTTTTTCTTGTTTTGAACGCATTAACATGCATTTACGCTAATCTAGTATGATTCAGGGTTACTTTTTTTTAACCTGCCATGGCCAGATTATCTAAAGATGTGTGTATTGTGTGTACAATCTATAGAAAGAGAAATGTACATCAGGTCCGATCATCCGATTTTCACGTTTCGGTTTTTTGGACTCGGTTCATGAACGTATTTTGGTTTGGCTCCTGGAATGTGCAAAAAAATGACTCCCGGGACTGTCTACAGGGAACACTCGCACATTCGCGGTGTATCAGGACAGCGCGACTGGTCGTCATTATACCCCCGTCACATTGTCGACGAGCTTCGGCCGTATTTGTCAATCGCCGAAAGATCGGCCGATTTTGAGATCGACCGACGATCGCGCGTATTTTTGGCTTGAAAATCGTCGCGGTCACATTGTGCGAGGCTCGGGCGATCGCTTGGCAATACATCTATGATAATGAAGTCCCTATGACATGGCAAGCAGATGAAGCAAGGCCAGTGTATCCACCTAAAAATGAATAGTTTGGACAATTTTCATGTTTGACCTGTCGTAATATTTTTTTTAGCAAAGTAATGGTGCAGACTGGCAGAATGAAATAGAAATATAAACAGGGATTCTGTGAAAGATCCAACTCAAATACTACCACAAGAGCCACAAATTTACACTACCGCCTGGTTAACACAACACCACCTTTTTGACCAGACAGGAGTCGGCCGAAGCTCGCTCGACACACGGGCGTACGTCGCTCGAGTTACGGTCGACGATCTATCGAAGCTCGCACGATCTCTAGACCATTCAACCAGAACGTACAACAAGACATAATAATTATCATTATATCAAAATATTTTTATACACGTGTACCTGAACAAAGCTAATAAGATATATTGTTCTGAAACTTTGCCTGTATACTTTTGTCTAAAATAGTATACAAGATTATTAATATTAGTCATTCAATGTCAACAAATTTTTAAAGTAGACAGAGGTAAAAAGACCCATGCAATATAAACTTCAACTAGTAAGTAATATCTATCACATGACGTTCTTGTGGGCACCCTAAGAAAAAAGTCAACCTCATTTCAGAATGAACAAGTGTAAAAGTCAATTTATTATACAATCATCTGAAATAAGGCCACACACCTCCTAAAGGGACAAGAGTAAAGGATACCATGTGCGTTCAATCAGTTGAGGTAAAAATCTAGGCATTTGGCCATATATAGTTAAAACCTCGTCATCTTTTGTTGATTAACGAATGTTGATGTAACAAAAGGACAAAAAGGACGATTTTGTCTATTTTTATACTTCTCTCGTAAACATAACGTAAACAATCACGTTAACATTAATGGGAAGTTGCTCCTGCAAACTTTACACAGTATACTCTCAATGCAATCTGAAATAAATGTCACAGGTGCTGAATAAATAATAACATCACAGGAGCTCGGCCGAGGCTCGTAGAACCTTCGTTCGACACTGGCACGAAGGTCTCTCGAAGCACGCACGATTTTAAAAACTTTGCGTAAGTCGGGCGAGGTACGGAAGAGGGTCGCCCGAATATTTCGCGAAGCTCGCGCGAGGGTCGACCGTATTAAGCGACCGTCGCCCGATTTTCAAAGACGAAATACGGCCGAGACTCGTGGGATGTACGTCCGAATATCGGTCGACTCTCGGCCGTACAGGGACGAGCTACGGGCGAGGTACGCGCGAGCTGGAAACGAGCTCTGCGACCTCAAAAATCGCCGGCGACTAGTCGCTGATGTTAAGAACACGTTTCGCGTGTCAGCGAGCTTCGGCCGACTCCAAAAAATCGCCGGCGATCCCGAAAATTCGCGCGATGCTCGAAGGAACATCGGGCGTACTACGGCCGTAAATGTCGTTTAGAGCTCGCCATCTAGTCGGCCGATCGATTTACGCGCAATGTGACGGGGGTATTAGCGCAGTAACAGTTGCATAAACGGACGAAACCATTTCAAAGAAATGGGGATGTTTCGAAAATAAGCATTTACTCCAATATCAAAACAGCTACGGTAAAAATAAAAAGACGTGCATCATCCCGGACATAATGCAACACCACATGCGAAATTACACAGAAATGCGACGTACGGAAGAATGCGTTTTGGCTGCGAACATCTTCCAAAAAACTTGGCATCGCTTAACCATGGGCAAAAACATCTGGAACCACTTATAAAAACCACCCCGTATCTGCATGAACTTTTTTGAACCCCACTGCTATTCCAAACAACGCGTTTTTCTGGACCATTCCAATTCGCCTCGTAATTGTAGGGGTGCGTCTGCGATATTACATTGACCGCGAAAGCAGCAACGGCAAAAATACACATTTGTGCATCAACACGGGCATGCCCGCAGACGGCGTATAAAATTGCGTGCCGATTACACAAAGAGAACCCAGTGTTTTGACTGCGAACATGAAAAATCAGCCGATTACAACACTCCGTCCGGAGGTCCTGACCTCCTTCACGGAGTAACAAACGTGTTATATCATTGTTGTGTTTATATACATGATATCGTAGCCGTAGATGCCAGATGTTGTACCTTGTACCAAAATTGTCGTGCAATGAATTTTGGCTTTGGAAAAATTGTGTTGTGATAAAATTGAGGTGACATGATACATACAAGACATGATTATAAATTTTAAACGCCTACTCTCTCTCTGTAACACCCATTTTACACATTAACATAGTGGTATGGTATCAACTTATGTTGGGGCGTGCACAATACAAAACTAGTGAAAAATAATTATAATGCATAAAAGATTGAGATGCGTGTCCTGGTCCATGTACTGATGTTCCTCTCCGTGGAAACTCCCTCCGAGTAGTAGTAGATTTCTGGAACCGTTAAAGTTGAATTAGTAATATCATCTCGGGGTTTAACAATTTTGTTTCAATGACAGAATTCATGTTGTTTTGACCCAGAGCAACAATACAAGTTATACTGCATATAGACGTTGCAATAACTAAAAGTGACTGTGCTGTGTTTTCATATATATTTATAAACAGGTATATATAGGGGTAGTAGGTTCCTTACCTAGACCGCAGAAGACTCGTTCACTTGTGAGTAAGGCGGCAGGCTGACGACTTCGTGCCGCATGCTCTCCACAAACGAGTTCACAACAATCACACCGTAGACCTGTGGAAGAGAACAAGATTACCAGGAACTAGCCTGTTTCAGAAATACCATAGAAAACAAGCTTGACAGAAACAATGAATTTAAAACAATAATATGCAAGAGCGTATTATTGCCCTCCAAGGTTCATATATATTTCCAAATGTTCTTGTTTTTGTTGTTGTCATATGCATGTATAGCTCTATAGGCATACAATTATATATAGAGGCGCGTCAGGATGGCATAATATATAATGTTTGCTCCTTGCACTAAAAAAACATATTACACCTACCAACAGCCCTTCCTCAACCGCCAAATAGAACCGCCAGGCGTATTCCTGTCAGACTGATGGTACAGTAAAAACAATGCCCAACGCACTCGGTTTGTTTTTGCATAAACATATATTGTATGTTGTATGTTCAAAACGCTCTAGAACCGTTTATGTTTGAACGTTCGTTTTGATTTAGTGTTTAGTAGTTAGAGTAGCCACATACTATATTGTTACCCATCCTGTTGTCCATTCTTTATTTTCATGTTACTTGCAATTAGCCTACGGGCAAGAACTTGCAATCAACTTTCGATAACATGGGTTGGTGTTGGTAGAATACCAACAGAATTGCAGAATTTTTATTTACTCGTGTTTCTAGTCTATTGAATGAGTCTTTGTTGAATTGCTCACGGATCGGCGATGGCTTCAAAGAAGTACGGGATCATAAATGATGCCGAGTGTCTAGTTGTTGTGCTTCTGTAAGCACGATAACGAAATAATAGATTTACTGTATGGTAAACTCCGAGAAACTTTATTTCAAATTAATTCACATATCGGATATTATTCCTGTACACACCAGAAAACTATTTAAAAAATGACAATGAACATCGGATATTATTCCCGTACACACCAGAAAACTATTTAAAAAATGACAATGAATGCTACACCGACAAACTAGTCTTTATTTTAAAAAATTGTAGAAAAGTTAACCAGAAAAGATACAACTGCACACATGTAGTGCATTCCAAAAGCCAAAACGACTGTGGTCTAGAAAAGTCTAAAACCAGATTTTACTCAAGACAAGCACAGAGTTCTGGATAATGCATGAGTACAACAAGCTTCTAAATGTACAGACTTTAAACTCCTTGCAAAAGAAGAATACAGACTCCGGGTAATGATTGATAAACCTTAATGTAAAAATATAAATGTAAATATTTTATATAGAAATTAAGAATTTACTTTTAAAACTGTAAATACCCACAGTTTGTGTATTATAATATAAAACTAGCTCAATGGTGGGTAAATACTAACGCAATTCAGACTTTTGTCTGCTATGTTTGTATTGAAAATAAAGTTTCAAGTTTCAAAATGCCGAAGACAGCAGGTTGGTACATGGAGTTGTCTTTGCGCATGCATGATCGGACATTTTTCATGGTACATGGTAACTAACACCGGTACCAGTCTCACCTTTTAAGAAATAGTACAAATAACCGTTAAGTATACAAAGTTGGTTCCCTTAAACAACCCCGTGCGATAATCTCTATCTCCATTGTTTAACTTTGTCATGTCTAGTCACTCCTCGTTGGAACGTTTGCAAACAGGAATAATCAAATGAACAACTAAATATAAAGAAGCTACAGAGTTGACAATTTGAAGTCTTGGGTACAATATGAACACAATGGTCGGTATGTTGGTAGTCCGGCATGTGCCCACTCTGGTCTCCATCCTCCAAATATTTGAAGAAAGACATTATCAACAACAGAACAACAGAATTCTTTAAAGAGCAGAATCATGTTAGAGCTGGCCAAGAGCAAGCATATTGACAGAGACTATTTTCCAATTTCCTTTTCTATCTGATCTGCTCTTTTCACGATGCATTTGACATTATGACCAAGTACTCATTTTGTGGTTAAATTTTATTTCAATGTTAATGTTTTTGATATATCATCATTATAATATAATGCAAAGATGTTGGTATATTCATTATTTTATTAGGAAAACATGAGCCATTTTCCTTTCCAGAACGTAACATAGCGGATTCGTGTCAGCCCTTTTTTGAAGACCACTTCCTTTATTCTACGCCATGATATCTTTAGTATAGAGTTCGAACTTGTTCCAACACAATGATATCTTGTTCATGGAGGTGTTTGAAGCTTTAAAGACATGTGTTTTATACAATTGTTCTACACACCAGTGATTATATAGCCTTTGCCCCCTCGAACTGGTTGTAAGGTGGGGGACTGCCGCCACCCTCACGCAGGTTCTGGGCATGGGAGTACACCACGATGGCGCTGTAGATCTGTGAAACAGATAAAACAGGCACAAAACTTAACATACATAAAACTTCGATCATTTTCAGAATAAAAGGTCTGTATAGAGGTGTAGCTGTCAGGAAATATTTAAAAATGTGTTCAAAAGCTGATAATTACAATTTTGTGGGGAAAATAGTTGAACTCACCACCAGACAGACTTTCAGCGCCACAAAGGCCCAAACGACACCCAAGCCCAGGATCAGTCCAGCGGCAACTCCAGCGGTAGCCGGGGCCCCAGTAGGCATAGGGAGGTCAGGATCAAGACCCTAGTATAAATTAAAGCATCGTACAATTAGTAACTGAACCCGATGTAAGTGTAAGGCCTGATGGAAGTCAACAGTCCGATGGACGTGTAAGAGTCGATGTACATGTAATGTTATTACCGTGCACCGAGTCACAGGGAACTGCGGAACTGTAATGTGTCGTCAATGCACAACATTTCTATCGGCTAAAAAATACGTCCGATCATTTAGTATTAAAAATGTGAGCACTTGATGAAATGTTGTCTGACAGCCATTAAACAAAACCTACATCCACTAATGATAGCCACTAATGATCAGCGGTACAGTATAGCACATTGCAGGCTATAGTTCTTTACGTGTAGAAACAATAACTTACCCGGTGCTCGGCAATGTTGGCGGCGAACACCGTGGAGATCACAACAGCTATGATGGTTGTAAGCACGGACCACACGATCGCACCAACCACCCACACCATGCACAGGTCGGGGTTGTCCTGTATTCAGAAAAACAAAAACAATTTATAAGATATACATTTGAAAACATTCTCTGTGTGGGAGTGAACATTCTACACGACAAATTGGGTACTTTTACCATTATTTCTTTTTCAACTGTACAGTGAGTATGATTTCCACAAACTGACTGCTAGATAGAAGAGCAACCTTTGTCAACTCTGAAATACAAGCAGTTTCAAGTAGTGTACATTACTGTAAATAACTTTATTCAGTCATCTTGTTACACATACTGTAAACAATAAGTGTGGCAGATTAAAATGCACAACTTACTTTTCATTTATCAAGTTCAGTTCCACACTTTATCCAAATATTGATAATCTCATGCTGACGAAAAATAATAAAAGAACACGAACAAACCATGCAAGCCCCAATGATGAGGAGGATGCACAGGATAAGCATTATGGCGTCAATGGAGACGCCGACGTACGTGGCAACTGTAGGAATAAAATACAACAAGACAACAATGGTTGGATAGATCTATGTAGGTCAGACTTTCATACTCATACATGAGGTGGAATAGATATTTCAGCATTTACAGTATGCAAACAGTAAAAACGTTCATTAAAAAACAGAAGGCAAAACGGTGAAAGTAAGCAAACATCGTTTGTCAACAACCGAGCCACAAAGTGAAATGTTACATCTTCTAGTTGATAAGATATTTTGGGTCAAATTCTAAAGAAAAGAAAAAAAGAAATTGCACAACATACCTCCCTTAGTACCAACCACTCCAGCGATGCCCAGCGCCATGTTCACGATAGCCAGGACCTGGACAAATAAAATACAGGCATAATGTCTTTCTCAACTGCCGAAAGTGTTTGGCTGAGGATGTAGAAGCTGCCCGGCCGAACTGTAAGAGCCGGTCGGCACCCTACCGCAAGCCGCACGGGTCAAGACGGGAGACTGACCGGGCATCGGACGGGTCCCTGACAGAAACCGGCTGCCAAGGGGACCACAAGTTTATGAATATTAATTAGAAGCCGCCGGCCGAAGCACAACCAGGCCCCGACAGGGAGCCGTAAAGGAACATTTAATTGTGACCCTGACAGTCGGCGCACGCTTGGCGTCATGACGCCGGCCGGCGTCTAGGTCGAGGACATGACGAACGGGCGCCGTTTAAAATGTGACTTAAGGCCATGTTGATTTGATTATATGGATGACATCCTCTGGGAACCCCAAAACTGATGCGAGCGTGCGAATAAAAAAAGTTTTGCAAAAAAAAAAGTTGCTTTCATTATGAAATCTACGCGGTCATGAAGGTTGAACAAAGGGCACAGAGTATTCATTTCTTTACATTTTCGTCTTTCTTGTTTGATTTTGGCATTCTACGACATTGGTATCGTTTTCAAATATTTTTTTTGCAACTTACGGTATAAATTTGTTCATTTTGCAACTGTTTTGTATGATTTACAGTATGGTTGAAAACTTCTTTTTTTTTGGAAACGGCCAAAAATTCATGCGCGCGCGGATGTCATCCATATAATCAAATCAACATGGCCTAAGCTTAAGAAATGGGGGAGTATGGGGGCCCCGGCATACAAATAGGATGGTACCCAGGCTATGTGTGATGTGGGGAAGCAAAAGAACTGCACACCTACATGTGTGATTTGTATGCCAACATTTTTGTACGTGAGAATGACTTTTAATTTGCGATTATTACTTAGGGCATGGTCACATTTCCAAGCCGGGGCCCGGCCGGGTTGTTTGCGTGAACGAAAAATAAACAACTTGTATTAAGAGCATACACAAATAGTGCTCATGATTAATTTTCTAAAACTTTTTTGTGTTATGCTGTCTTATATCATAATTTTCGTTCCAAACGACTGCCCGGCCGGGCCCCGGGTTGGGAAATGTGACCGCGCCTTTACCAGGTACACGATGGAGACGGCGATTGTGCCGGACTTGAGGTCACAGCATCCGCAACAGTTGTTAACACGCACCATGGTGACAATCAGATCAAACGCGGCGCGACAGGGTTAGATAAATCTGAAAATAGAAATTACAAAGTATAAGAATTCGTTTGTGTTAACATATATACTAGCAATCCTTATGCAATACAGGTGCTAAAAATCCTCAAAGTTAATGTTAAATTATGTCTTCTGCAACAGGCAAAATTCTTAGCCTCCTTCGCAGTCTTGTTGGGCGTGGGCGTAATTTTTTCTGTGAGCGACGCGAGTAATATGCCGCCGCGAGGGACGATTTGCTGCCGAGGGACTTTTGCCACGGAGAGAAGGTTTCCGCGCGGAGTTCACAGAAAAAATTACGCCCACGCCCAACAAGACTGCGAAGGAGGCTACAAAATTCTGATGCAACGTTGGCCAAGTCTTCTGCAACAGGCAAAATTCTGATGCGACGTTGGCCAAGTCTTCTGCAACAGGCAAAATTCCGATGCAACGTTGGCCAAAAAATCTAACGAAATCCGTGAACATTGGGGTTTTGCGCAGGCGCAGTACGTTCTGCCGACGTACTCAGCGAAACTAAGGCGTGGGGATCAGACAGGAAGTGACGTCAACAAGTAAGTTTCTTGGAAGCCATCCTTATTTGAGTTTCGGTGACAGGACTTTGGGCGTGTAATATCCTGTACCAGGCTGCGGGAGGCGGCTGGAATTAATAGAAATAGGCGATCGAATCACTGTCTTATATAATCTCAAGCTATAACGGAACAGATTAACGTGCCTCAGTATATTCACAGAAGATACATAAGGTTTCAGTAAAGGTTTCGGGCGACT